TCCCCCGAGTGTCTAAAGGGATGAAGGGAGTGCACATGTTTACCGAGAGAGACCATGGGAGAAACGAAAGACATTGTTTTTCCAAAGGATTTCTTGGCTGTAAAAGACCTCCACCACCCTGTGGCTTCCCTGATGAAGGCCCAGCGTTAATTTGTTAAATCCACATCAAGTGCCCGGAGAACCCGTTGTTTATTTTTGCTAATTCAGCCGGCCGAGATCAAATTGGGGTTTTATTTGTTAAGGATAAACCTTAATTAATAAAAGCTATTTATTTAGTTAGAGCTGGCCACAGCCTGAGGGTCAGATATGCCACGATCATTATTTCAAGTAAAACAAACCCAAAACGTCTCTCAACAGTTTGAAAAACGTAGAAACTTAGAGGGCTGAATTTATTTGTCTTAGGAAGAATTTACAGCTAATTCCCTCCAGGCTATTTCAACCCTTAAATTATATCCGAGAAGAAAAGAGGGGGGAAAAAAAATACCATTCCAGGCGGAGAAGGGAAGTAAATGGTACGGCAGATTTGATCATTTTGGCTGGGGGGGGGTGTGAAAAATTTAAAGCTTAAAAGGTCTTTGGCAAACTGCTCGCAAATAAATGGAACGTGTGAAATAATTTAATGGCAGAAAACTGTTCGGGGCTGCGGGGTCTGTGTCACAATGGAAAATGAAACACGTTGGAGGAGATGTAGCCCGGGCTGTTTTGCATGAGAGGGTTGAACTCACTCCCTTCTGACCTGGTCCCTGAAAAAGGGGGGTTTTTGCACCTCAAAGCCAAGTGTCAGAGCTGGATGCAGCAAAATCTTTCCCAGGCTGTGGCGGTGCACACGGAGAGGGTTTGCAGCGTCAGCTGGGGGAGAGACAGGCTGGCAGTGGGGCGAGGTGACATCGTGCTCTGGGATGAGCATTTTGCAGAGAAACCCCAGAAACTAGGTGTCCAGAGGGGAGTCACCCCCCAGAGAGACTGATGGTGATGGAGCCCACCCCTGAAAGCCATCCCAGGGGAGCATCCCTGCCCAGGGACGCCGTGTCCCTGTGGCTCAGGCTTGCGAGCAGCTGGGAATGTCAGCACTGGTTGGGGCTGGCTCCCAGCTGCACCGAGGCCGTTTATCGTGTGCTAATGGAGGTCGTAAGTCAGAGCCGGAGCCTCGGTGGAAATTAGTGAAAATTACCTCTTTACAGCACTCGGCGGCTGCTGCGCGGGAGGTTGGGGGCCCTGCCAGCGTGGGGGCCCTCCTTGGCAAGCCCAGCAAGTCCTTCCTATGGAAAACTAATGGGAACGCAGAGGGAAAAGGCAAGAGCTGGAAAAGTGGGCTCGGTTGGTGCCCAGCTGAGCCAGCGTGGCTCTGCCCCGCAGGGGCTGTTGCCTTTGCAAATGGGGCAAGACCCCTCACTCCCCAGTTCACAGCGTGGGGTGATCCAGGCTTGCCAGCATCGGTGCTCCCGCCTGGAGAAGGGGCTTGGGGTGACCCCCAGCGCCCCATGGCACCCATAGGGCAGAGCTCTGCCCCCAGGCTGGCTGCAGTTCTTGGGCAGGCAGCATTGCCTGGGGCTGGGCAGCCCAGACAGGAGGCTGGGCACATCCAGCACCCCAAAAACTCATCCACATCATGGGGGGAAAGTTTCATGTCTTTCCTAACACACTGGGGCAATTTAAGTCCGGGCCCATCCTGCTCTGTGCAGAGCCCCTGCACCTCCCTCTCCCCATCCTCCCCCGCACGTCATCTTTCGTTATTCAGTAATGTTATCCCCCGGTTTTCCCCCTTCTCCTGCTTTTTTTTTTCCCCTTCAGTGGAAACTGTAATCAGTGGAAAATAAATACAGTGAAGGTGGCTGGGGAGAAGGCTCAGGAGCCCCTCTGACCTCGGACAACCAAGCCCTGCCCCAAACGAATCCCCAAATTGTAACTGACAAAGGCAAGGGTTTGGCTTTCTCCAGAGCCTCCCCAGGCACTGCTTTGGGGCAAAACGTAGATGGTGGTGAGCTGGGTTTAACTTCGTGCAGTTACAAACCCTTATTCCGGGAAGCCCATCAGGGTGAGGAAATGGTTTCCAATTCCTCCATCAAGGTGTCAGAGAGTCTGGTTAAATCCAAGTCCTGCTGATGGCAGTGAGATGGCAGAGGGTCTTTGGGGCACCCTCTCCATCCTCTTCCCCATTCCTTCTGTGGTGCCACGGAGAACTTAGCAATGCTCATTTTTGGGAAGCTGTTTGGGGACTGTTAAAGCATTTCTGAAAGAAACAGTCCAGCCCAACTCTGTATATTGTAAACCTGTCAGACACACACCACCAGCAATTAGGGTGGCATTTATCTGGTCCCACAACCCTGCAGGGCCTGAGTTAATGGGGACAAGATGTGTTGGTCTGTTCCAAGGCTCATCCCTGAGCGGAGCAGAGGATCCAGGCAGGCCCCCCAACTGTGGAGCTGCCTCCCTGCCATACAGAGATGGCCTGGAAAAAAGTGTGGAAGGTTATTCCATTAAAACCAGCAATAGAGGCTGAACAAAATGCCCCAACTGAGGCATGGCCCAGGGTTTGAAGCTCTCAAAAAGCCTGGGAACCACTGGCACTCGGACACATCCTGACGCAACTCTGGTCTTAAACCTCGATCCCAGCATGCCTGCCAGCCCCATATGGGAATTGCTCAGCGATGCTCATCTCCCGTGGCCATTTAGCTCTTCCCTCCATGGGTTTGGGGAGAGAGAAACCAGCCAGAAATGTGGTCAGATCCTACAGAACTGGATTGAGAATTAATTTAAGGAACATTTCCACCTCCTCCTTGCCTTCAGCCAAATTAGAGCGGGTGAGAGAAGCAATCACTTAGGGAAAAGTCCTACAGCCAGGTTTAAATTGGGGATGAAAGCAAAAGGGGTTTATAAATTTTATTTATACATTTCCTAGGATTCTGTTGAAATCATTGCTGGTTCAGCGAGGGCCGTGGGTGCCCTTGGTGATGGCAAGTTTTGAACCAAACTCTGATCTGTCATTTCCCCAGAAGCCCTACGGGGTCATCATAAACCCAATGAGGAAACATCTCTCACCCTGGTACATCCCATAGCTCTTTCCCAGCCTGATGGTTCCCGTTTCAGTCCCAGGCTCCCAGAAAACCCAGGGACAACCATGGCTGGACTTCATGTATTTTAATCCAGCGGCTCGTTAGCTTGCTGAAGGAAAACAGGACCAAAAAAGGAGTTTAACTAAAAGGGGCAACTGGAAAGCAGAGACTGGCAGAACATTTGAAGCTGCAGGAACAAGGGCTGGAGGGAATCCTGAGAATTTTATTTGTGAGCCTTTAAACACGATCGGCAGCAAAGGGCAGCCTGTGGTTTCCTGGCTGGGGAAAGGGCCTCTAACCCACACATATTTCAGGCACAGCACTGTCCATCCTGTCTTTACCCAACCGAGAAGGCCGTGTCCCAAATACAAGAGCACAGGCTGTTTCCAGCCCAAGGGATGCTCAACCAAGGTCCAAATGCACCTACAACACAATAAAAGACCCAGAGAAATGCTGGCAGCTGCAGCGAGGCCTTGGGAGAGGGACAGAGCTCCTTTTCCTCCCCTGGACACCCTGGGGTGCTCACATGGCATTCCTGCACGTGCCTGGGCAATGGGGAACAGGGGGGGTGGTGGTGGCCAGGTCCCACCTCCACATCCCTGCCAGCAGATATTGGGGTTTCTCTGGTCTTCATGGCTCGTCCTCAGGATGGGACAGCTCTTGAGAGTGGTGTACTCAGGCACAAAGGCCCTTAAGGACTTGATGCAAAACTTAGCAGTGGACATTTCATGGCTTGAATTATTAAGAATTAAGGTCCCAAGATGGTTTTTGGGGTCTTTAAGATCTTGGAACCCATAGTTTCCTCCTGCTCAACAGCTTGATGGTGTCTTGGAGCAGGAGAGTTAATATCCCTTGCAGTTGATTTTGTTTGTTGCTCGAGTATCATCTGAAAACCCTGCACTTATTTAATAAGTGCCATGATAACTTATTAGCAAGTATTTAATTCTTGAGCATATTGAGGGAGCGGCGAGTTCTGCCACCGTGGCCCCTGCAATGATATAGAGCAGAAACCCCCAATATAACCCTGCTATGAATCAGAATGTCATAAAATTATTAACATTTCAAATAAATCCAAAATGCTTTCCCACCAGTAGGTACAGATTGGATCCAGATGCTTTATTAACAGAAAGAATCATTAACCAGTACCTCCATAAGGCAGAACGACAGCGAGTCGTGCTCCTCATGAAGCCTTTGCAGGCAGCTGACTGGGTGTCTCGGAAAAAGACTTCATAAACTTGCCTAAACCTTATGATATTAGTGACAAAGAGGAGATTAATCTCAGCCTGGCTGACAGCCCAAGATCAATACTGAGAAACCAAACTACACCCTCAGCTTCATGTTTCCATGAGCCAGCAAAGCCAGAAATAAACACTGTGAAGGCTGAGCTCTGCGAGACGCGGTGCCGTTCGTTCCGAGCTCTGAAGACCGGGGTTGGATGAGCAGATGCTTGGCTGCAGTCCTGTGTCACCCTGGGGACATGCCACGGCTGGGGCTCCAGGGGGTGCTGGAGGTGGGAGCTGAGACCCTCATCTTGGGTGTGTTTTGGTGCTGAATTTCCATGGCTGTTCAGGAAAGCTTGACCTAATGCCTTAGGATGAGCCGAGGCCAGGACACCCTGTGGGCATGTCCCCAGTTTGGATCAAGTGCTGCCCAAAAATCCACAGAGACCGGTATTCAAAATCAGATCCAGGTGGTTTTAGCCAGACGTGAAACCACCGCAGGTCTTTGCAAATATTGGGGGTTAACCCTCAGCTCCTGCAGGTCCCGGAACAGGTTTAGATTCTCCTGGTGACCACAGGGTTGCACATATGCTGCTCCCTCCAGAGTCCTAGGTGCCCGCAGGGAGTGCAGACCTCCAGGAGGGCCTGAGCCTGGCTGGGCTGTGGGGTCTGTGGGGTCTCACACAGGTCTGGCTCTCACGTGGCCTCTTCTGTGCTTTCCCCACAGGTGAGAGCCTGAGCCCGAGCCGTGGGGCGGCCAAGAGGAAGAAGAAGCAGAGGAGGAACCGCACCACCTTCAACAGCAGCCAGCTGCAGGCTCTGGAGAGGGTCTTCGAGAGGACGCACTACCCCGACGCCTTCGTGCGGGAGGAGCTGGCGAGGAGGGTCAACCTCAGCGAGGCGAGAGTCCAGGTGAGCACAGGTTTGTGTGGGAGAAAACAACACCCTCTGCCTCGCCCCCAGGCGGGAGCAGGGACTGCCCCCTCTCTGGTTTCATCCTGCACACGACCACGATTGGTAGGACAGACACTTGGGACATCCCTGCTGACCCCCTTCCCTCCCCACGCAGGTCTGGTTTCAGAACCGGAGGGCCAAGTTTCGCCGTAATGAGAGGGCCATGCTGGCCAACAGATCAGCATCACTCCTCAAATCCTACAGCCAAGAGGCAGCCATTGAGCAGCCCATGGCACCACGACCCACCGCACTGACCCCGGAGTATCTCTCTTGGACCAGCACCTCCCCGTACAGGTAGGTGGAGGCTTTGTTGGAGCTGGGGAGGAGGTGGCCATAGGGCTGCCTAGGGACCAGTCCACTGTAGGAACGCAGCCTTGTGCTGCTGTTGGGGATTTAGGAAGTTTTACAGGGCCAAAACGAGCTTGTCTGACTTTGCTTTGGGAACCCCTTTCATCTCTGAGCACCCACTGCCTGTTGCTGAGCAAGCTTCTCTGTCTCCACGCATTTTGGGGCCCTGGTACTCGCAAGGGATTCGCTTGGCCTCATGCTGACCCTTCCCACATCTCGGCACAGGAGGTGACATGGGTCCCTTCTGGTTCCCAGCTGTTCACGACTAGCCATCTCGTCCAAAAGCTCAAGGCAGGGCTTCCTGGTGCATACTTTGAGGGGTTCCCACATCCAGCCGGCCATAAAAATGCTGAAGCCTTGGCTGCTCTTGTGGGAGATCTCTGAGAGGGAAGGGGGCAGTCTGGCCTGGGAAGCCGGCAGGACCACGAGGGGCATGGGGACTTCTCCATGGGCAACGCCTCATTCCTCCCTGCTCCCTCCCCGCAGCACTGTGCCCTCCTACAGCTCCAGCGGGACCGCGACACCCGCCCAAGGGGTGAACATGGCCAACAGCATCGCCAGCCTGCGCCTCAAAGCCAAAGAGTTCAGCCTCCATCAGAACCAGGTGCCGACCGTGAACTGACCAGGGCAAAGCCTGCCCAGTGCCCTCATCCAGGATACAACGTGGAGCTCCTGTGCCAGTCCAGGACGAATCCGCCACCTGCCCAACACATGTCACTCATCCAGTGTGTCTCAGCACCTCTTCTCTCCTCTTCCCTTCCCTTTTGAAGGTAGAGTCAGTCCCCAGGCCGAAGTGGCACATAATTATAGCCACATATGGAGCAAACTTGGTTAGAAACTTGCTTTTCCGCACACCCTTATAATAACGGCTATATATACACACACATACCCCCCACGCGCTCTTCGAGGACAAACAGACTTGCCAAGGGAACAAGAATTTGCTTCCAAACATGGAAGGATCTTGGACTATTGGATTTGACCAATTTGGGTATCTCGCCCAGAGAGCCAAAGAGTTCTTGGGTCTTCTTCTCCCATGGGGACGTGCAGCGGTGGGAGGACCAGGAGCCCCCCTTTCCACCAGGCTGTGACTTGTGGCGCTCAACCACAAGTGCTGAAGCTGACCTGTGTGCTCACCTCTTTGTGCAACCCCAGCCACAGCGTTTGGGACTTTGGGAAGCTGACGGCTCACCCATGCCACGGCCAGTCCCAGCCAGCCCTCTGCACTGTGCTGCCTGCATTTAGGAGTAGCCTATTCAATGGCATCAGGCTTTGTTCCTTCCCAGAGGAGCAAGGAGGGCTGGAGCATCTCACCAGCCTCTCTCAGAGCCTGTGAGCTCTCCTGTGAGCCGGGGGTGCATTGCCAGTCCCCAGGCAGGCACCACTGCCCTGCCTTGGTGGGCTTGCCAGCGATTCTGCAGAGCCCCAGGTCATTGAACCGTCCCAGGGAAAGAGAAAATTGGAAAAAGCTGTTGGGTTTCAGCTGAGTAGGCGGCTCCCAGCGCTTCGTGCCAACGAAGGCTTCGCCTTCCGGAGGCACAGCCTCCCTGTCGGCAGCTCCGCAGATGTGAGCAGGGGTCTGGGGCCAGCGACTCCACGGGGGGAGGTTTCTTTGGTTTTGCAGAGAGGAAATGGTTTCCCCCTTGTCCCACCCTGCTGTGCAGCCTAATGAGGTTGCAAGGTGGGATGTGTGGGGGAAAGGACACAATGGGGGCAGCTTCGCCCCAGCCCATGGGACTGAGCTGCGGAGAGACGCAGCCTCCGCCTTCCCCTGCCAGTCCCGTGGCAATGGGGAACGAGCCAGAGGGATGGAGGTGTTACCCTCTGGAAACCAGGCCACCCATTCCTCACCCACCACAAATTGCCACCAGCCAGGTGCGGGGACACCACCAGCTCAGAGGGGTGGCCCGGACAGAGAAGGCACCAGCCCTAATTGCCTGGAAGGGCTTGGCTTGGGGACTGTAGCAGCAGGTCTGAGGATGAACAGAGCAACTGCTGAGGTGCTTCCTCCAGATAAACATCCTCTGGTCTGTGACACCAAGGCTTGAAAGTGTCACAACTACAAAGTGCCCATCTGAGTGCCCACAGCTCCCAGGAACATCCTCTCCCATTCCCACTGGGGCTCTCACTGCAGCTGCATGTGGGACCCTCAGCTGCACCCCAGGCAGCACCAACCCAGGGGTACTCACCGGGCACTCAGCTGGAGATCTGATGGGAGAACAAGGAGAGAAGCACATCTCCTCTGACTGGGGGTGAACCAGCCCCTCCATCCTGCCTCCAGCCCCAGCTTTCTCTGCTCCACCCAATCTATTCGGGAATGACCACCTTCTCCTCCTCCAGCACGGCAGGCAGGGACAGGGCACAGCCTGACTGACACTGTCCACCCCACCCAGGGAGGAGTGTCACCCTAAATACCCATGCTTTGCCCCCATCCCTATTTCCAGGGCTGGTATTTCCCCCATTTGCCATGCCAGCAGCTCCCCATACCACACAGACTTGCCAAGCCAGGGGGAAGAGGGATCCAGTGGGGATCAAATCACCCACCCTGAGAAACACCCCTTGGGGCAGAAGGAGGAGGCCCGGGGGGGGGGTCCTGTTCCCATGGAAAAGCACAGGGCTCTTTTTTCGGTTATACAAGATGAAACCACAGGGATATAAATGTCGCTGCCTCTTTGAGAACATTAATGAAAATAAACCCATTTAATAGTTTGCAGATGCCGTTTCTGTAAACCTAAAAAAAGCAGGGAATAAATATTTCTTCACTAAATATCTATATGTATATATATATTTGAAAACATTTGCTCCTAATCTTAGGGCCCCTCCTTCGCCGTGCTCTTGGCAGCTTATCACAGCTTGTCAGTCAGTGCTGAACTCACCGAGACGAGATACAAATTGCACCCACGGAGGGGTAGCAGGACCGAGGGATTATTGTAATCTAAGCTCTCTCTCCCCCTTTCTATTTGTACATTTCAATTACTTGTAACAAGATCCATGGTGGATTTTTTTTTTGTTGTTTTGTTTTGTTGGGTTTTTTTTCTGCATGTCTGCGTTTCGGAAATTTTTGTAAGGTCTTTTGTAAAAACAACTCTTGTGAAATAATGGAGGAATAAATATTTTACTGAGTAGAGGCGTGTCAGTGCATGTGATGGGGACCTGTGGTTTCCCACCTGCCCTGGACAAGCAGCCCAGGCAGGGGACCCACTGTTTTGGGCAGGGGACAAGAGCCATGATCTGGCCACCTTCACCTCGAGTGATGGTGGCATCTCACAGCTTCTCCCCAAGACCTGGATTTCATCCCAGGCTCCCAGACAAATGGTCCACATGCCCTGGGAGAGAGGCAGGAGCAAGGGGGGAACATGCCAAGGCCCTGTGGATCTGAGAAGGGGTGGAGGGACCACGTTTCTGCAGCAGAAATGCTGGGCTTCCCTCTGGCTTGGGAACCCTGGAGCTGATGCCTGGAGAAATTGAGAGAGCACAGAAAACAGCCTAACAAAGGTTCCTGCATAACAGCTAACTGCAGGGTCTTTCCAGAGCCATCTTATTTCATTTGGGGATAATGAGTGTGGGCTATTGAGGAAGGGGTGTCAAAGAAGAGAGGTCTGCATGCTCTTCCCCTCCAAAATCCCACTGGTAGAGCTTACAGGATCTGTCCTGGGCAGCCCCCATTAATGCTGGTCCCAGTTCACACCCACAGCTTTGGGAGCAGCACCCCCATTTCCCCCCAGCAGCAAGGGAATGGGCTGAGCTGGGATGCAGCCAGGAGCAGGCAGCAGAGCCCCGTGCTGCAGGGTTACCAGGTCAAATCCAGTGCTGTAAGTGGGAATGGAAACCTGCAAACAGTAATTGATGCTCCACAGACACCAGAGATGGGCATCTGTTAACAGAGCTCCCATTCTCTGGCGACAGGGCTCATCCATGGTCCCAGCAGAGAGTTATCCCACAGCCCTGGGAGCCAGAAAGAGGCAACACAGAGGTCTGGACCTGCTCAGGGAATTGGAGGCAGTGGAGAAATACGGAGATTTTCTCCTATACTCTCACTGCAGGAACATCCAGGCACTCAGACAGATGCTGCTCTGTCAAGCATGCAGACTGGGTAAAAGCTGGGCAGCACAAACCCAAATCAGCACCAAACCCAGCTCTTCAGGCTCCATCCTGTGCACCAAGGAGGGCACCAACCTGGTGAGCTGGAGGCTGGGCACTGATGAGGCACATGGGAGAGAGCCAGGCCGAGGGGGTGAGATGTGGGACCTGAAGGGCAGCCCAGCCTCACTGAGGGCTCAGCAGAGCCTCACAATTGGGTGGATTTGCAAGGAGCCTGGATTAGAATAGGATGCTGTGAGCAGGATGGCTCCTAGAGAGAGTCACTCACAGGGACCAGAGCAACATGTGGCTCTCTGTGGGTTTTCTCTTCCAGGTCTGCAAAATTTGAGCTGACAGGCAGCAAGAAGGGGCATATTCTGCACAGATGACTAGTTAAAATTTTAAAAGGGTAAGAATAAACTATCAGCTCTGGGATCATGGAGTGCTTCCCAGAGAGCAAAGGCTCACAGGTGCAGAGCAGGCACAGAGCACCCAAAACATGGGGAATCAGTGGTCAGGCAAAGCTGACACCAAATACTTGGGGCAGCCAAAGTTAAAAAGAGCTCCAGGAGCTCACAGTGCATCACCAGTGGCCTTTGGGGCACCTGGACCCCATGGACTGCAAGGTTCAGGAATGACCCCTCAGCAACATATCCCAGCTTTTCCCAGAGCAGTGCAAGGCTCATCCTTGCATCACCCAGTGGAATCAAGTCCCCATGTTGGACATCACCCTAGACCCACCACAGTCCCACACACTTGACCATCCCTGTCAAACTGCTCCACTGCTGCTTTGTAACCACTTATTTATTCATTCAGTAAGTGGTTTGCAGATCATTAATGTCATTTCTCCAACCTCCTGCCTAGAGAATATCACCCAAGCAGCATCCTCACGTCCTCAGCATGTGGCCAGGGCAGAGTATCCCTTTGGAGGCCATCCAGCCCCAAGTCAAAAGACCCTTGGAAGTGAAGAGCTTGCAGATCCCAGGGCAGATTCTTCCAGTGACTCATTACTGTTGACTGCTGGAAATATGTCACTTATTTCCTGCCTGAACTGTCCCAGCTTCAGTTCATCTCCCACTAGAGCAGAAGGTCTCAACTCATGGTCAGCCTGCTCCCAGGAGCTCATGGACATCTCCTGAGGGGTCTGCAAACCAGGAGACACACAGGCATAGAGAGCTGCAGCTCACCTGGCAGGGTCTGAACTCCACAGGGGAGGGATGTGCCAGGGGAAGGCTGCCAATGAAGAGGAGTTCAGAGGCATTGTGCTACCTCTCCTCTTCAGCACAGGGGCGTTTTTCCTCCTAGGAAGGGCACATCCATCACTAGAACTAATTTCTGCAGGAGAGCTGGTCTCCATCCAAACACCACAACTTCAGGAGCAGGGGAAGGTTGCAAGGCCATTTGCAAACTGTTTCCTTCCTCAAAGCAGCTGGTTTTCAACCAGGGCAAGTCTCAGCTGATGGGAGGATCTCCCTGGACCCCCTTTCCTTGTTTCTGACCCCACAGCCCGACACTTGTGCATGACTTTCCAACCGATGAAAAGTTGAAGTTTGTCCCTACAATATTTTAATGAGAACAATTTTGTATTGTCATCAGCCTCGGCTGCCACGGCAGCGAGACAAAACAGAGTTCACATTTTCCAGCTCGCAAGGACACCAGCCTGGTTACCCCCATCCAGAATGAAACACAGACATCTCGCGGTTACAGCATCCTCCTCTCCCGTTATCCTCGCGCTGAGCCCTTCTCCCTCTGGTGGCAACGGGAAGGTCCGGAGACTCTCCGAGTCCTGCTGACACCACCTACGACCCGCAGAAACACAGGTGACAGCAGCGTGTCACCTCCCAGGAGCCGAGCCCCTCCTGCCCTTTGGGATGATGTTCCTGTCCCGGGGGGTGTGATGCTCACCCCAAA